TGAATTTGACATCTCTGTTCTAGAGCTAGACAGTTTGGACAGAAGGAAGATTGCCAGGAATCTACATTTCATGATGGCGATGGCCTTCTGAGTCTAAGAAGCCAGAGGTTGAGGCAGAGGGGAGTAGGGCAGCTTGAGGCTACAGATACTGAAGACCCATTATCATAATTAATCCAGAAACAAATGGGCAAGGAGAGATTGTACTGCTCCTAGCTTTTATTAAGTAGGCGACACTGACATAATTAGGCATCTGGTATCTGAAGACATCTGCCTATAAACCCCGCAGACACTCCCTGACCATTTTGTTACATTCAATCCTCTTTCTTGGTGACTAGAAGTACTTTTCAGTGTTCATGTTTTCCTGACCTTGGACTGGCAATCATTTAGGACTCAGTTCTACTTCTTGCTGGCTTTGTTTTCTGGACTACCTGAAAAACTGTTGGACCAGCTGATGACCAACTATTCGCTTCTCCTTGGATACCCTATGACTGAACTGAATTGACTACTTAAACACCAACCACCTGGTTTTGGGTCACTTACTGACTGGAACATAGGACATAATTTGTAGGGAGATGATTCAGCACCATGGACAGAACCATTTAAGTTCAAATTAACACCAAGAGGAGATTCACTATTCCACTGAAAGAGAAACTGACAGGCACCACAGAATCTGGTCCTGGTTGTATATGTGGTATATAATGCAATCTGGGAACATGCACGCACAGGGCTTGAATGGATCATTAAGAAAAAAGTATGCAAAAACATGAAATACAAAGGTTTTACTACAACCCCCAGATCAGATGAAAGTATTGTGTTCAGCTTCTAATCAGGGTGCAAAGAAGAGAATGCTTCCATCCTTCCCACCACTTAGTGAGACAGAGACAAGAACTTGTAACACGGGTCTTACTTCCGATTGTTACAGCTTCTCTTTATGGCAGCAAGGGGAAAGAAACATCATCCTTCTAGTGTTATCAACTGAAACTGAACAGATCTCTTTCGTTTGATCCAGCTGCTAGCTATTAGATTGGGTGCATAAGAGCCATTCTGGAATGGGTCAAATGTAATCTGTGGGATAACTTTAGTCATGACTTACTCATTCCATCAATTTCAATAGTCCTACTCAAAGAATGATTCACTCTAGATAAAGCCCGTGATTTAAATACAAGTGGTTGTGGAAAGAAATACAAATCACAAATATCAGTTTGAAAGGGGCATGAGACCTTAGGTAAGCTAATTACCATAATGTAAGAACATCCTCATAAACAGAAATTTCAGTTTATATTCTCAGTCTGCATTCTGTATTGCTCACATAGACCAATGTTTCTCAACCTGGAAATCAGGAACCATGGGGGGGGGGGGTCATGGGGGTGTCATAGGGAATGAGTAAGTCATGACATAGTATTTTCTGTTGGTCATGAGGGTTCTGTGTGGAAAGTCTGGCCCAATTGTATCATTGGTGGGGTTTAGAATGCTCTTTGATTGTAGGTGAACTATAAATCCCAGCAACTACAATTCCCAAATGACAACATCAATCCTTCCCCAACCCCAACAGTGTTCATATTGGGTATTTGTGCCAAATTTGGTCCAGTGAATGAAAATATATCCTGATATTTACATTATGATTCATAACAGTAGCAAAATTGCAGTTATGAATTAGCAACACAAATAATTTTACAGTTAGGGGTCACCACAGCATGAGGAACTGTATTAAAGGGTCGTGGCATTAGAAAGGCAGAGAACCACTGACATAGACCTTGGATAAGAATTATTACATATACATTAGATATTTCTCATGGGCACATTTTCTTCATAGCTCTGAAATTGTATAAAATATTGATGCTTGAAATAAACTCTATACCAAGCAGTGCTATTAGTCGGTATGACTGAAAAGAGTGCTGAGCTTTGTAGTTCCTTTGGCCAAAGTTATTGTTTGTTGTCTCTGTGCCTTCCTGTTGAGTTGCAGTGTTTATCCTAGATTTCTGGGAGGATACTATATGGCTGACTTTTCAGTCCGACCCTACAATCAAATTTGCAAAAGTTAAACCTGCAAATGTGAAGGGCTAACTGTAATTTAATTAATTACATGTAATATTACTAATAATATTACAATATAATGGTATGGTGCAATATAGTAATATATACTGATATTGTACTTTGCTAATAATATAATATATTGTATGAAAATATATATTGTAAGCCGCTCTGAGTCCCCTTCGGGGTGAGAAGGGCGGCATATAAGCGCCGTAAATAAATAATAAATAAATAATAATTTTATAATTAATTCAATTGCATTGTAACAATGATCTTTTTAGGTTTTCTCTTTATCTATTTTAATTTCTGTAAACCATTTTAAGGGCTAATACCTTAGTGAGTGGACTTACACCTGTGGGAATTAGAATTGGAAATTAGTAAATGTAATATTGTTGTATGCGTCCAAGACAGCAAAAAGGGATTTGTACACTAACATCAATATTTTAGTTGCACATAATTTTTCTCTGTCTTTGAAAACTCATTCTTTCCATGAATAATGAACGTTGCCTCATATTTCTACATTCCTGTGCTATCGTGAGATGGTGACATTTTGCTTATATATTATGTACAAACTTTGTGTGCCCTGGAAAAAAAGTTGGCATCATTCTTTTAATGAACCTGGGCCTTTCCAGTTATACATTCGGCTGGGTTTGAATGATGGTTCTCCCTAGAGTCTCACTCATTCTCCCCCCTCGCACATTGCATTTCATAGTACATTGTAATTTATGCATCTTTCTGCTTTATAATTCCAAAATAAACATGGCTGGAAAAGCTATAAATATATGGCAGGGTTGTTTGGAAAAGGACAGAATATGAATTATGCAAATGTCAGAGCTGGATGTTTGACAAAACAGAACTGCCTCTTCTACATAGTAGCATAAAGCAAACTACTTGTTTTGTAAGTTCTCACAATACTGAACCAAGCATCATAGATCCAACTCAATCACAATCATAGTTTGGACTACACCTCCAAAATTCCCCCAGTAACCATGCTTACTGGAGGTCAGCTGTGACCAGCAGTGCTGCAGAATTCAAAGAGGTATGAGCCGAGGGTGAAAGCGAGAAATGTGCCAAGAGGAAGGCACATCAAGCCAACCCTGACTGGGACCACCTTCCATCTGGAAACTGATGTCCTCACTGCAGGAGAACATGCGGATCAAGAATAGGGCTCCACAGCCACCTATGGACCCACCACCAAGACACCACATCTGGAAGACAATCATCCTCGAGCTACGAGGGATCACCTAAGTAAGTAAGTAAGTAACCATGCTAATCCTAGGAATTGTATTCCAGAAAGGAACCTTCTCAGGTCCTGGTTGCTATCAACATACTACTAAATCAAGAGAAGTCATAGCTCCACCCTATTCTGCTTTAGTCAGACCTCACATTGAATACTGTATTCAATTCTGGGCACCACAATCCCAGAAGGATATGGAACAAGTCCAGAGGAGAGTGACCAAAATGATCAAAGGTCTGGAAGCCAAGATGTATGTGGGACTGTTTAGGGAGCTAGGTATGTTTAGCTTGAAGAACAGAAGGACGAGAGGGGACATTAGAGCCATGTTTACACATTAGAAAGGATCCCATATTGAAAATGAAGTAAGCTTGTTTTCTGCTGCTCTAGGACAGGAAGCAATGGATTCAAAGCACAGAAAAAGGAAATTTCACCTAAATATTAGGAAGAACATCCCAATGGTAGGAGATGTGACAGTGGAATATGCTGCCTGGGAATCTGGAGTTTCTTTCACTAGAGGTCTTTAAACATAGATAGGATGGCCATTTCTCAGGAGTACTTTGTGTGGTAGAAGTGAGTTGAACTGGGTGATCCTTGTGGTCTCTTCCAACTTTGGGACTCTTCTGTTACCCATGTTCCCTAAACTTGAGTCTCCATAGAAGAGGAAAGGAATTGTCTTCTGTTTCTTTTCTCCCATCCTTAGTTCTTCCATACCTCGAGGCCTCTCTATCTCAGACAGGAAGGTTTTTGTCTGACAAGTGACATCAAGGAAATTGAATGTCACATTATGTTCAAGGAGTTCTGTGTAGGTGATGCAACACTGCCTAGATTAGTGGACTGAGCTCTTGCACAACCAAATGTATGCCCAAATGTGCATGAACACTGATGTACCATATGCACAGGTGGCAATGACACACAGAGGCTATTTAACATTCCAGCTTTTTCAAGGGGGTATTCTGGCCACCAGGGGATCTGTCGCTTCACCGTCCATTTGTGACACTGATGAAGTACTTCCTCATTCTTTGCATGCTTGCTGGAGATTTGTATGGTGTCATAAATTAGCCTCCCCGCATAAGCTGTACCTAAATTTCCTACTTGACAGATGCGACTGTCTTTCAGGCTGCAAAGGTCGAGAGCATGCTACATAAATTGGTCGGAAGCTCACTCCGACTCGGGCTGACTTTGAACTCATGACCTTTTGGTCAGTAGTGATCTTAATGCAGCTGACTCCGAGCCAGCTGCGCCACAGTCCCAGTACTGGCCACATGACCTTGGAGGTGCCTATGGACAATGCTGGCTCTTCAGCTTAGAAATGGAGATGAGTACCAACCTCCAGAGTCAGACATGACTAGACTTAATGTCAGGGGAAACCTTTACCTATTCCAGTATCCAGAGACAATCTTTGTGAAACATGTATTTTGGCCACCATGTATGAGAATCTTTTAATCTGCAAGACTTGAGTAGGGCCATTGATGACAGAAGACTCAAAGATCTCTCATTCTTAGGTTACCCTTAAGCTGAAGTCAGCTTGATAGCTCAAGAAGTGAAGTATATCTCATATAGATAGATATTTCAGAATAGATAGATGGATGGATATATAGATAGATAGATAGATAGATAGATAGATAGATAGATAGATAGATAAGAAAATACATAGGTAGTCAAATCAACAAGGGCTTCATCTATTCATCCAATCTCACTAAACCTTTCAGAAAATCACGCCTTTCAAAATTACCTTTGGTTGTCTCATCTTCAATAGGTTGCTTGAATAAAGTGATGTCTTTAAAAGTGCACAGGAACAACACCACTTTGTCATGCTCATTTCGTATCGGTGCAATTTGCATGTAAAACCAAACAGGTGTTCCTGTAATCAAAAGGGGAAAAAACACGTCATGCGGAACAAAGCAACAACGCAATGACAGCCTCATAATCATGATGATCTCTCATTCATTTACTAGAACAAGCTAGTCACCCTTAAAAGCACTCCAAACCTATTGAAGGTAACAGTAGACTAATGCACGGAAATCAGGTCACCCTAAGGGTGCTTAACCTTGGCTAGAACATGAGGATGATGTGATTATCTGGATCCAGCTAAATGCCTATCAAGTACGCATGAAAATGTGACCATAAACAATGGGCTGTCAGCGCACAGATGGGCAAGAGCCTGTCCCAGCTGCCTTTATACCACTTCTTTTTACCTCCTCCCACACACTGTCTCTCTCTCACACACATATGGGTAAACTATCTACGTCTCTACCATCTGCATCCCTAAACACCTGGGATTTATTCCATTTTATTGCCAATTAGTAAATGTGTGCTAATTGTCAACTCAGCTCTGCATAATCCCTGTTGTTCTTGAGTGTTGTTTCCAAGAGTTGCAGCTTCCCGCCCCCTTTCCTTTTACAGGTGTATTATTTATTCAAAACAGTATAGGATAAAGAGACACTTGGACTGAGGGCAAATCTCCCAACTAGAAGAATATATAAACAGCCTTGTTGAAGCAAACACAACCAGAAGCTTATTTATCCCAGTGTCCTTTTTCTCAGAAGGTTATTAAACACAGGCTGGATGGCCATCTGTCAGGAGTCCTGTGGTTGTGTATCACTGCATGGCAGACTGGGGTTGGACTTGATAGGCCTTGTGGTCTCTTCCAACCCTACATTTCTATGATTCTATTACTTACTTAGGTAATCCCTCGTTGTCCAAGTAAGATTGTCCTCCAAGTGCGGTGTCCTGGCATTGGGTACGTAGGTGACTGTGGAGCCCTATTCTTGACCTGCATGTTCTCCCGCAGTGAGGACATTGATTTCCAGGTGGAAGGCAGTCCCAGTCAGGGTTGGCTTGACGTGCCTTCCTCTTGGCACATTTCTCTCTTTCACCCTCCATTTGTGTCTCTTCAAATTCTACAGCACTACTGGTCACAGCTGACCTCCAGCTGGAGCGCTCAAGGGCCAGAGCTTCTCAGTTCTCAGTGTCTATGCCACAGTTTTTAAGGTTGGCTCTGAGCCCATCTTTATAACTCTTTTCCTGTCCTCCAAGATTTTGTTTTCCATTCTTCAGCTCAGAGTAGAGCAACTGCTTTGGGAGAAGGTGATCGGGTATTCGGACAATGTGGCTGGTCCAATGGAGTTGATGGAGGAGGATCATTGCTTCAATGCTGGTGGTCTTTGCTTCTTCCAGCATGCTGACATGTGCCTGCCTGTCTTCCCAAGAGATTTTCAGGATTTTTCGGAGGCAACACTGATGAAATCTTTCCAGGAGTTGCATGTGACATCTGTAGACTGTCCACGTATAGCAGGGTTGGGAGGACAATAGCTTTATAAACAAGCACCTTGGTCTCCCTACGGATGTTCTGATCCTCAAACACTCTGTGCTTCATTCAAAAAAATACTGCACTCACAGAGCTCAGACAGTATTGTATTTCAGTGTCAGTGTTGACTTTTATGGAGAGGTGGCTGCCAAGGTAGTGGAAATGGTCAGCATTTTCTAATGTTACACCATTAAGCTGTATTTCTGGTATTGCAGTGGCTGCAGTGGCTGGTGACTGCTGGAAGAGCACTTTGGTTTTCTTGATGTTCAATGACCGGCCGAGCTTCTTGTATACTTCTGCTAAGGTGTTTAGAGTAGTTTCTAGGTCTTCTTCTGAATGTGCACAGATGACGTTGTCATCAGCATATTGGAGTTCTATAACAGATGTTGTTGTAACCTTGCTTTTGGCTTTCAGTCTGCTGAGGTTGAATAGCTTGCCTTCTGTCCGATAGATGATTTCCACTCCGGTGGGAAGCTTCCCATCAACAAGTTGAAGTATCATAGCGATAAAGATGGAAAATAAAGTTGGGGTAATAAAACATCCCTGTTTAACACCTGATTCCACCTTAAATGGGTCACTTTGGGAGCCATTGCTGTCCAAGACTGTTGCCATCATGTCATCAAGAAAGAGCCGCAGGATGTTCACAAATTTGTCAGGGCACCCGATTTTTTGGAGGATGGCCCAGAGAGCACTGCAATATGATTCTATTAAATTAATCCTAGTTAAAGATCAGCACTTCCTAAATCACTGATTTTAATCATATCTTGAAAATCTTGCTCTTTTGGACCATAGCTTGCAGGATATTCCAGATTTTTAAAAGTGTGTGTGCATGTACATGTTTGGAGTTGCGCTGATAATAAAGCAAACCTGAAGAAAGTGTTAGTGTGTGTAAGGGACTTTGAAATCCTGCTGTGCAACCAGCTGGAAACAAAGGAATGACAGCACTTGAGCTGTGACCAGCATGGTTCATGTGGATGACCTGTCTCAGGAGATTTGGCCTAACATGTACCAGCACTCAGGTGGACAGCCCAGACAAAAGCGCAGGCAAGCAGAAACTCAAAGAATAAGAGGTTGCAGAGGAGGCCAGGAAAAGGCATTTCAAGGATTTGGTTTGGATGTCTGAAGCAGCAAATTAAAAGTGGAGAGACTATAAAGAATTGAGGTGCACAATAGCTCATGGACAGAGACCAGGCTTTGTGTGAAGAAGGACCAAGTTCAATTGCTGGTTCCTTTAGTGAAAAAAAAAGGATCAGGCAAGAGATAATGAGAAATGTTTTGGCTGTAATTCTGGAGAACTGTCAATGGAAAGGTGGAAGAAGCCTCTAAGATCTTGGGAATGTAGCCTTCTTTTCTGAATTCTGTAGTTGCTGTTGTGTGCCTTCAAGTCACGGCTGAGTTATGGTGACTCTAAGGCACTGCTATCTTGTCTTCTGCCTATATCATCACTTGAGAGGCCCCTCCCCCTTCTGGCACCAACGGCTGCTCTGGCCAGAGAGAAGACAGAGGGGAGCAGAAGACACTGCCATCTTGTCTTTACTAATAATATAATATAGTATATTGTATATACATATAATATTTATAATATTATAATGTAATACAATATAATACTAGTAATAATTCAATATTATAATTATAATTATATATTTAATTACATGTAATATTACTAATAATATTACAATATAATGGTATAGTGCAATGTAGTAATATATACTGATATTGTACTTTGCTAATAATATAATATATTGTATGAAAATATATATTGTAAGCCGCTCTGAGTCCCCTTTGGGGTGAGAAGGGCGGCATATAAGCGCTGTAAATAAATAATAATAAATAAATCCATCATAGGGTTTTCCAGGTAAGAAGTCTTCAGAGAGGAGTTGCCTTCACCTTCTTTTCAGGTTGAGAAAGTGCAACTTGCATAGGATCACCATGTGTGTTTCCACAAACAAGTGGGGATTCAAACTCTGGAAGGACCATCTTAACAGCATTATAGGGTTTCAAACAAAACAGTGAACTGGGCCCTGCCTAGCAACCACTCACAGCAATAAACATGTAAATTATTAATGAAATAAACTTATATTTATTGGCACCTCCAATAAAATCAGTGTTTTGACATTTGAAATACATGTTGTACAGCAAAGATTAATCAAGACAGACATTTGGACACTATAACACGAGCCATGAACTCAAAAAATGAAAAATTCAACGTAAAAATAGTATTTAGTTAGTAAATCATACTGATGTACTAATATATGATTTACTGATGTATAATTTACAAGCCATTTTTTCTCATTCTACTGGGTTAGTGTGAGATTTGAATGTTGAGGCAGGAAAATTTCCAGGAGCCTGTTAGGAGAATGACCAGGGTAATATATAGGGGGCTAGGTTGTGTCCGCACATGCATCTGCCTGCAGCCAAACACCTCCTCTAGAGTAACAAACAGACAGGCCCGTAGCCAGGATTTTGATTTGGGGGGAGCTGAGTTTGATTCGGGGGGGGCTGAGTCTGAGTGAAAGAGGGTCTACCCTAGCAAACCTTTTGTATCATTACCCCAATATCCCCATGCATATGAGATTTATTGAGCATAGTGATCAGATCATTATATGAATAAACATAACAGTTTAAATAATGTACCAGTAAGGCCTACTCGCGGACCACCATGAGAATTGGGGGGGGGGCTGAAGCCCCTCAACCACCCCCCCCCCCCCCCCCGGCTACATGCCTGCAAACAGATAAGAAGCCTCCTTAAAGCACACACCTGCCTGCAGGTGAGCACATCTCCTCTAAAGGAAAACAGCTTAAGTGCCTAAAATGATGGGAAGGGGAGCTTGGGATGCTCCCCCCCACCCCACCCCTTAATGGGGTGATAGAAAATGGATCTTTCAGCGCCCCAGAGCAAAAACAGATATCTGCTCTCCCAATTCTGGGAGGCTCCCAAAATCCAATTGGGGTCCCCACCGGAAGCCGGGACATGAAACAGATCAAGGTTTACCCTCAATCCACAACCCTTCGGAGCATGACAGCTAAAGAATTCTGGGAATTGAAGTTCAAAAAAGTATTTCCTTAAGACTGCAAATACCACGGAATTCCCAAGCTCTGACTATATATTTATTAGGGCTGGGCGGTTTCGTTTCGTTAATTCGTAATTCGTTAATAATTCGTTAATTTTTTCAATTACAAAACGATAACGAACCATTCTGGAGCAATTATTTAAAAAACGAATTTTCAAAAACGTTTTGTAAATGCTTCGTATTTCGATATTGTATTCGTTTCGTTATTGTTTTGAGGTCGTTTCGTTATTATTTCCGCATGCCTGGGCCAGTTTTATGGTTTAATTAGTGAAAAAAAATTATAATATCACACCAACAGTCAACAACAGAGGGAGAGGGAAGCTTCAGAAGGTTTTGGAGGTTTTTTAGCGTATTTCGCGGTCGCGTCCGCCATTAACGAATCGATTCGTTATTGTTTCGGAAATCGATTCGTTAATTTTTTAGCATTTACGAAATTTCGTAAATATCGAACTTTTTAAAAGGAAAATTTTGTAATTATTTTAAATATCGAAACAAAAAAAACCCCCAAATACAAATCGATTTTAGAAACAAATTTTTCCGTTGTTACCCAGGCCTAATATTTATATCTGTTTGTCTGTCTGTTCTATCTATCTATCTATCTTTCTATCTCACATATATTATATCTCTCAATTAATATGACCCGAGACTAAATTTAAAATGTTAGTTATATGCCATTAAATACCTTTTTAAAATTACAATACACCTTCAAACCAACTCCAGAATATATATGGTGATCCTATCTCAGGGTTTCCTTGGCAAGTTTTATTTAGAGGTGCTTGCTATTGCCTTCTTCTAAATATAACTTACAGAATTTCCTAACAGTCTCTCTTCCTAACAGTAACCAAGCTAGCTCTCAGCTTCTTAGGCCAAACAGGATCTGGTGTTTTCAAGTATCTAGGCAGGTTATCAAATGCCTAAAAATAAAGAAATTTCTTAATCTCAAATTGAAAAGATGATATTTTAGAACCACATTCCACAACTATTCATTCTACTTTACCTTCCATGGCAAAATCTTATGGAATTCCTTGGGGATTTGCAGTCTTAAGGAAACACATTAAGAATTTTTAGCCAGAGAGTTCTGGTGCCATACAATACACCCTTAATATATGTTTCAAAAGGAATGCATTCTGTTCCATACATCCCATACTGACGTCATACTTACTGTTTTTCTTGTACAAGAGTATTTCAAAGCAATTTGACTCATAGTTGTCAAATGTTTGTCTGACTTTTTCAATGGTCTTCTTGTCTGTGAGTTCCCCATACATAAAACTGGAGGAAGAAGCAAACAGAAGCAGGAGAAAAAAAGAATTGAAGAAAATTCTCACCAGCTTCATGTGCCAAAACAACAACAACAACAAAAAGACATGGTTGCAGGCAGACATATTTATGGCTTGGCCTAAAGTATAAATCCCAAGCTATATATGCTTAACTACGATTTACAAGCTTGTTTTGTATTTACAGTTACAAAGCTTATGAAAACCCCTAAAGCAAACAGTGTACAGTTGGAGGGCTTTGTTGATAGAGGAAGGATTTATAATGATGCTGTTTTGTGTTCCATTTAAAGGGATGCTCTGGTTGCACTTACAAGAATATGTTGCTTTAGAGAGTGAAAGTGAAGGCAATACATAAAAGTATAAAGTTCTTAAATTCCAAAGCCATTCCAATAGACAATAATGCATACACATGGCTCAGTATGATTAATTGTAACATCCTTCCAAAACCATTTGTTCCTGCTTTTTCATTATCTTTGGTTGTGGTTGCCTTTGTTTGGCTCTGAGATGTTTAGGATGGCAGGCAATCCAGCAGCCTTTTGTTACTGCTGTTGTTATTTGCCATCAAGGTGACTCCAATGCAGTAAACCTATTAAAAAGAGATTTCCAAGAGGCTCTGTTCTCAACTCCCTTCTGCAAATCTTGCAAACTTTAGCAGCCATGACTGAATCCATGTACCTGTAGTACCTTCTCTAGGTATGTGTAAGTCCTCCAGCATGATTACACAAACAACTTTTGGTGGATCTTGACCATAGCATTGTGATGGAGGACCTAAAGATTACTAGAGGTGCTCTCTCCAATTAGGAAAAGTGGGGGGTTTATTCAAGGTTTTTCTACTTTCCCAGGGGTCCTGTGCCCCTAACCCCAGGGAATGTGGAGGGTTAACTCTCTACATTATCTGGCTGTGTCCACACACTGTCTTGGCTCCTTCTAATGCAATGTACTGGGATTTGTCATTTCAGGAGTAGTGTTCCCTCACTTATGGCGAGTGTTATGTTCCAAGACCACCCGCGAAAAGTGAAAATCCGTGAAGTAGGGTCGATATATTTTGTTTGTTTCCACCTATAGTTGTCCTCATGATACACTTTCCCCTATCCTTAATGAAGGCCATAGCCTTCACTAAGGGGCACTGGGGTATGGCCTGTCTTTAATGAAGGCCATACCCCACTGCCCCTCCTTCTTGGGCCACTTGCTCATAAACACACTTTTTCTAGTCTTATCTCACTCAGGGTTTTAACAATTTAACATTTTATCTTGCACACTTGTCCCGCCCTTGTGTTTGATTTCTATTATGTTGTTTTGCACTGTTTATTTTATTTTGGTACTTCATGTATTTTGTTATGATTTAATTTTTTGTTATTTTGTGTTTAACTTTGCTGTATTATTTTTGAGCCTGGCCTCATGTTAGCCGCCGCGAGTCCCCTTTGGGGAGATGGTGGCGGGGTATAAATAAAGATTATATTATTATTATTATTATTATTATTATTATTATTATTATTATTATTATATCACATTCCAACGGTGAGGCAAAAGTGAGGAGAGATTTAAAGGCACCATGCACCTTTTTTTTTTTTTGCTAGCTATAAGGAAGCATGATTTACATACTGCTTTACATCTCCTCTTTCTTTTTTATGATTGGCTGCCTCTCTCCTGTGCGAAAAGGTAAAACAACAAGTCCGCGAAAAGGAAACCGCGAAGTAGCGAAGGAACATTGTACATAGAATTCCCCAGCATTTTCTTGAACTATAGTATTTGCACTTTCTGGCAGAAAAACCCAAACTACAGATCCCAGATTTCCATAACAAAAGATTAATGACAGCTAAAGTAATATCCAGTGGTTCTCAACTGGTGGGTCCCCAGATGTTTTGGCCTTCAACTCCCTGAAATCCTAACAGCTGGTAAACTGGTTGGGATTTCTGGGAGTTGCGGGCCAAAACACCTGAGGTCCCACAGGCTGAGAACCACTGTGCTATACAATGTTATCACTGCTATGCAACTCAAAACCACTGAGAAATATCTTCACAGCCCAAACAAAGGAAGACGGGAAAGAACTTACCTGCATGTGCTACTTTTCTGCATGACGTCAGCTCTGTGGTACCCAGACAATTTACAAAATCCGTCATTACTATACACCACAGGCCAGTCCACGATTTGAGCGTTCCCCAGTAAAAAACTGGATTCTAAATTGAAAGAGAAGAAGGGGAAAAGAAAGGCAGAATTAATTACCTCCATCAAAGGAAGGCATCCATATGATCTAGATTTGTGCTACAAAAGAAACACTGACAGTGGTCTTAGTCATAGACCAAATGTATCAATAGTAATGATAAATGGATGCTGCAATAAAATGTTTCAGTGTCGTTTTCTCCAAAGAAGGATCAAGGCAGCCATGCCCTTCTCTTTCCATTTTCTCCTCACCATTTCTCATTTCCTTTTTCCACCCAGACACTTAGCTTCATGTGACCACTGACAACATTCAGCTTTCTTTTAACTGTTTTGAGGGGTTTTCTTTCTTTTCAAAAGAATAACCCATCCCTGTTTCTACTTCTCTTTATGCGAAGATTATGCCATTTTGATGAGATCAGGACCATCACAATGATACCAAATTATGAAGGAGCAGTGAATGTTGCAAAAGAAAGGAGCAAAGTTCAATCTGACTTGGACAGAGCTGGGCCAAAATGAAGAAAATAAAATTCAACAAGGAGAAATGTAAGGTTCTACACTTAGGCAGAAAATGATGAAATGCACAGATATAGGATGAGTGACACCTGGCTCGAAAACAATTCATGGGAAAGGGATCTAGGAGTCATGTTAGTAGACCATAAGTTGAACAAGAGTTAACAGTGTGATGCAACAGCTAAAAAAGTTATTGTGATTCCAAGCTACATCAATAGGAATGTAGTGTATAGATTGGGGAAAGTCATAATCTCACTTTACTCTGCTTTGGTCAGATCTCACCTGGAATACTAAGCTCAGTTCTAGGAACCACCATTCATGAAGGATATCTACAAACTGCAATACTTCCAGAGAAAGATGACCAATATGATCAAAGGTATGGAAAGCAAACCCTATAAGGAGCAGCTGAGCAAGCTGTGTGTGTTTACCTTGGGGAAGAGAAGACTCAGAAGTGACATGACATATATTTCAGTCTCTGAAGAGATATCATATAGATGATGGAGATGGAAAAAAAGTGATTCATCTAATCATTGGGAATATTTCTTTTCACTATAGGAACTGTTCTGCATTGGAATAGACTGCCTTAAAAGATGGTAGACTCCCCATCCTTGAAGGTCTTTATATAGAGATTGGATTGGCATCTTTCAGGAAGGCTTTAGTTGTTTATTCCTGCATGACAGGGAGTTGAACTTGACAGCCCTTGTAGTCCCTTTCATCTCTATGATTGTATGATTCTATGATCATCAAAAGAATACATTTGCTATTACCATATAGACTAAAATAGTAACTGTGCACAAAAGCACAGCATTTCTCTTCAACTGCTGAGCTGTCACAATTTTAGTCCCTCGGAAGAGTCAGTGCATCCAACTTCAGAGGCCAAATTCCACCAGACTGAAAATCTGTTGCCCTGGATAACAAATTTGCACTAGCACTTGTGCAAAGCAGTTATGCCAAAGGGTTGTACAACTGATGGCAGCAAACAGTTGGTGTAAGAGTCACTTTGCATTAGAGGATATACAATTGGTTGTTCAAAAAGTTGTGGCACTGATTGCAAAATCACTTGTGCAAGATGGTTCACTGCATCTTACACCATCAATTGTGCAACTGTTGTGTGAAATCAAAACTGTATTGGATGCCACCTTGAATGTGTATAAGCGATTAAACCATAAGCCTTGCAGGACTACAAGACAGATCTTATGTTATCATTTTATTTTAACCTATAGTATCATTAGGTATTGGTGTTAACACGCTTCAGTAACTCACATCCAGTATGGAACCTCCTCCCATACCAGACTAGACTATACTACAATATTTTAGCTAACATGCCAAGCAATTTGATACAGTCAGTGACTATAAAAGACCAGTAGCAATGAAAACAGTAGTGTATGTTTGTAGATGAAACCATGTTGCTAAAGCATTATGGTAACAGGATAATTCTTTTGACCAGAGTGCATGTGCATCCATAGGTTCAAAGAGTAAATTAGCATAGAGTTTTAGCCTTGTAGGTATATTGATACAGTACAAACAAGCCAGGCTAACAAAAATGCTTTTGTCATTTTACCTAAGCACTGCCTAAATCAAAGGAAGTCAGTAAAGCCATTAACCAATTAAAAAAAGAGCAAAGCCAGCAGGCCTGATGGGATCCCTGTTGAAATCTTGATATTTGTTATAAAATAAATAAATAATACAGTTATCTCATTTAACCAGAACTCAAGCAACCAGCAAGAAGTTAAAGAAATAATCAATTTTAACTGCCATGTAACAAAAGTTTCATAATGCATTCGCGAAGTTGTTTTTCTAATAATGTAATGCAGTAAAACTGCATTATATTAAGTCAAGTTTGTCTTAATTTCCTTTTTAATTACTGTATTTCAGTATTAATACCAAGTCAATACAATTCATGGTATGGCAGTATAGAATATACTTATCAGGCCTACTTTTCATAGTAACTCTCAAGCAACTGGAAATTACATTTATCCAACATCTACCAATTCCCATGTGTGCTGGTTAACTGAGAGTCTACTGTAAAACGCTGCATAACTATTTTGTAGACAGTAATGTTGATTTCACCCCTCTGATGATGATGCAGTTTGTACCCCTTGCACACACACACACACACACACACACACACACACAAACACCCTTGTGATGCCACTCAGTGTTCATAGCTTCTTAATTAACTACAGTTTGTGGCCTGATCTAAGTATGAAGCTGGGAACATATTAAGTTCTGTTAAGAGGCTTTTAATGAGACAGTGTTTTCTTTACTGATGTCTTTTAAATTGCTCTTAGTTTATCAATGTTTTATTACTATAAAGTGCTTAATTACGTTTTAATATTATGACCTTTTGTGGTTTTGCCTAGAAAGAATATTTCTAGCCAATTTCCCTGAGCCCCCATTTCTGTAGAAAAGTGGAATATAAATAAATAAATAAATATAGAAGGAGATGAGACGTAGACTAGGAATCTCTAGATCAGTGATTCACGACCTCAGGGTAGTGACCACTTTGGGTATCAAATGACCCTATCACAGGGGTTGCCTACAACAATTGGAAAACACATATTTCTGATAGCCTTAGGAACTAAGACACCACTAACCTTTTCCCTCCCCTTCACTTCCTAACGACCTCTTCTTTTTTAATTGTATTTATACATTTTATTTGATTTTAAAGTTTAATATGCTGTGAATTAGTCTGCTTTATGTCTCAATGTGGCATTGAATAATTGCCAAAAACTGGAAGCTGCTCTGAGTCACCTCAATGGTGAAATAGAGTGGAGTAGAAATATAGTAAATAAGTAAATAAAGTCTTCCGCTCTGGAGAGAGGTGGTGATGTCACCCAGCCCACTCCCACCACCATTTTTGGAGGAAGAGATGGGAGTGATGGAGGTGAGGTTTGCTTTGGAACCAAGAGAGAAGGAGGAGGAGGAGAAGGAGAGCAGGAGCATCAGGACGGAAAAGGTGAGGGAGAGGGGCTGGGGGGGGGGGCAGGCCTTAGAGAGGGGCAGAGTGGTCCCTCCTTGGCTGAATCCCAGGGAGAAAGAGAAGTAACAATGAAAATACATCCTGCATATCAGATATTTACATTAAGATTCAAAACAGTATGAAGTAGCAATGAAAATAATTTTATGGCTGCGGGTCACCACAATGTGAGGAATTGTATTAAAAGGTCAAGGCATTAGAAACTCCACCAGTGGTCACATTTCATATTGAGTATTCGTGCCAAGTTTGGTCCAGATCCATGATTCTTTGAGTCCACAGTGCTCTCTGGATGTAGGTGAACTACAACTCCAAAACTCAAGGCCAATGCCCACCAAACCCTTCCAGTATTTTCTGTTGGTCATGGGAGTGCTGTGTGCCAAGATTGGTTCAATTCCATCCTTGGTGGAGTTCAGAATGCTCTTTGATTGTAGGTGAACTATAAATCCCAGCAACTACAATTCTCAAATGACAAAACGAATCCCCGCCCAACCCCACCAGTATTCAAATTTGGGCATATTGGGTATTTGTGCCAAATTTGGTCCAGTGAATGAAAATACATCCTACATATCAGATATTTACATTACGATTCATAACAGTAGCAAAATTACAGTTATGAATTAGCAACAAATATAATTTAATTGTTGGGGGTCACCACAGCATGAGGAACTGTATTAAGGGGTTGCAGCGTTAGGAAGGTTAGTGATGCCACTGGTACTATCTAGGCTTTTCAAACATAATAACAGTTGTTTGGGATTGCATTTGCTGAAGGATGATGATGTTGACAGCTTTGGTAAAAGCCTATCCAGTTCCAATTTATAGGTTCAATTTCAAAAAAGTTTCAAAGCTGAGCTTATAGCTTTTATACTTCCCTTCCTTGAACTCCATTATTATTATTATTATTATTATTATTATTATTATTATTATTATTATTATTATTATTAAACTTTATTTGTACCCCGCTAGCATCTCCCGAAGGATTCGATGCGGCTTACACAGGCCGAGGCCTCAACACACAACACAACAATACAATCTTATATGGTCATTGTAGACCGATACATTGTAGTTTGGACTGTGTTCAATGAGTCTGCAATGACCATATAATGCAGTTCCAAAGTGCATTTTATGGCAGTGTAGATCCAACCTTAGTTTTGCTTTTGCTCTTTTCTGCTTGATCTATGGTTGCAATAATGTATTTTGTTTTGTGCACTCATTTATACCCCACCCTTTTCCAATATTGTGGTTTGAGGCAGCTTATAAAGATTGAAAAAATACATGCAAAATTCACATTAAGTATGTTAAACCACAATTAAACAATCAATCGAATGAAAAATCGTTTAAAAACTCATTAAGACAGAAAATGAAAATTAACAAAACAGCACATCATTAAAAACCTATTGCTATCCATTCCTAACAGATTTGTTGCGTTGAGAAATTAGTTTTTAACTTATTGGCAAAGTTTTATGCTTTTAAAAAAAATCTCTTTTGTTTGGCTCTCTTACTTGATTGCCATGATTGTATACCTTTAAT